TTTAGGCCTATCTATGGCCTTCAACAAGTTGACGATTCTACATGTTTCGAAGTTACAACGTCAAGCTCAGTAGAGTCGTCAACTTTTTGAAGGCCTAAATAAAAGGTTTTTAATTGTGTACCAGTTTAACGTTGAATATTATTTATGATTTTAAAGTTATTTCTGTCCAGCTTGCTTTCTGTACATGTACCAGTTGTATTGAATGTATTATGGTTGATAAAAGATTGAATATTTTTATTCGTTTGGAATTCCTGGTATCAGCGTGAAAGTAGGCAACAAACAGGTTTCATCTTTGGTGTGAAACCAGAAAGACAAGTTAGCTAACTTGTACAGGTTGAAATATTTGTAAAACAGAGTCAGAGATAAGAAAGATGAAGAATTGGTTTCTTTCACGTAATAACAAATTTCTTTCAAATTTAAGTTTACTGAAGAATTAAATTTCTGAAAACTCAACTTACACCAGTATTAGCACCATTTTATTTTCCTGGAATGATTAATAGTAAGTGATCGTGAATTTTTGGTTTTTAAAAACAGGTGTCTCTCACCGGAGGGTGTTCAGGTTGATTTTATATTTATAGTCACAATGTCTGCTTCATTGAGATTGTATCCGAGTCGTAAATATTATTGCTATTCAATTAATAATATAACATACGAAACAAAGCCTAGTGTTAGCGAGGCGTATTAAAGATATAAGGCTCCATGATTTGCATCTTGTTGTCTTAAAACTTAACTTTGGGGCCGTGTGTACAATATAAAAGTGACCTTCAAATCCCACTATTCCTTAAAGTAACTCAAGAATTCACAGTGGGTACTATCTTCCCTTTAGTCAATTAGTTCAAAATTAGGACTGTTAGCGTTTTGCACGAATATCCGATACAAATTAAACTAAAATAAATACTAAAAGATTGTTTCATGGTAGTAGAATCATCATAAGAACCACATATACTTAATCACACACACACACACAGAAAACAAAATCATTTCGAGAAAGTTTAAAAAATTTGGTTTCAGCTATAAAATATAAACAAAAACTGGCAGCTTGCTCGAAAATTTCGTGTTCAAGACTACCATAACGATCGATTTGCATTTCTCTTGTCACTTCACAGATCAAACTAACCCTTACACATCTGTTAACAATGTAAAGCTATGAGAATTAAAGAATTTCTTTATAGGTATATTGGTTACAAGAGGTAATTATCTCTCTACACAAATCACAGTAGTATTGTATACAGATTTGGCTATCTTATCTAAGAAAGTATGTTGGCTTGTTATAGAGGGTTTAGAGGAGAGCTATAACTACAGGATGATTCGAGGGGAAAGAAGAGTTATCTAATAAGGTCAGGTTAAGATCTCTTAACATATTTTCTCTTAATAAAAAAAGGGTAATAGGCGATGTTAGTGGAACTTACAAGATTATCTGGGAGATCGGTAAAATAAAGGCTTCTGATTTTTTTGATATATTCTGAAGATAATAGGATGATAGGACACGAGATTAAGAGATGGAAAAAGACAGGCTAGGCTCCAGTTGTATTTGCTTACGGATTGCACTGCTGTCGGCAGTAATGGAGGCCAACACCTTATGGGAGTTTAAAAAGGAGAATTTTATGAAAAACAAACAAACATTTTTTTATACTTTTATTTTTTTTTCAGATGCAAGGTGGGAAAGAAAAGTTTTGGAAGGCCAAATGATCTCTTGAGGTTCATATGTTATATTGTATTAAAATTAAGCTAAAAGGTTAGTTATTAAGATCTTAATAACAGGAAGTTCGAAGTGTTTGTATGCAGTGTATCGTTTGTGGAATTTCGCACAAAACTACTATAGAGCTATCTGCGGTTGTCATCCTTAATTTTGAGGTCATAGAAGGAAGTCAGTTAGTCAACACCACCCACCGCCAACTCTTGGTCTACTATTTTACAACACAAAGATTAGACACAGTTGCTTTACTTTGAACAAAAACACTTTATTTCAACATACACAAAAACACACATACACAGGATTATAAAATTTACCTTTTTGTATGTCCTGGGAAGAAAAAATACAGAACAATGAAATTAACATGCGGTATCACACGAATTCTTTTATATAGGTTTGTTTAGATTATTTCTATAAATATGATAAACTGCACGAGATACACTGAAAAAATATTCCTACATATTTCATTGAGAAACTTATTGATTGTCAACTAACGATTATATTTACATTTACAAAGCTCTCATTTTAAGAAATAAATGAAAACAAACAAACAAAAAATACCTATTCACAACACTTCTAACACTAAAACATGTTAGATACCAAACGAAAAAAATGCCTATTCACAAACACTTCCAACACTAAAACATGTTAGATACCAAAGTAAGAGAAGTGATATGTTTTCTTCTTGGTTGATTGTCTTTAATATTGTAACATTAAACCATCAAAAATGAAACAAACAGTAAAGATCAGTAAAACTGAATGTTGCAATATATACAATAATTTCTGTATCTTTACGATAAACAAAACACAATTTAAACCCATGTTTACGAGATGAAGTTACAGATAACCTATGAAAATTTTGTATTTCAGAAACACTGATACCAACACCAAGTGCTTTGAACTAATATAATATCTGTGGCATATGAAATGCAGCGACTCACCGGATTGTACAGGTGTATATTACAGAACAAAAACTGAAATAGAACTCAAGATTTAGTAATCATACAGGCGAGTTTAGCGATGCTTGTTATAATTGAAGAAAAATAGAAATATGTTTTACATCATGTTTGAGTGCAAGTATTTACAATATATAACCTCCGTTATAAAGAAATGTTACTTCATTTCATGTACAATTTCATTGTTTCGTAGAGGTGCCCCATGGAACAGAACTCCAGTTTTTGGTCTACCGTACACCAGAATTTGTTCTAGTAGAATATACAACTTATTCCTGAAAAACAACACCAATAAAAAGTTTTCATTCGGAAGAAGCAAAGCAACATAGTTTGTTCCACCATTTTTTGTTACTTTTTCTATAGCTCGAACTTGAAACGATGGCGATTTTTAGAGGAGATCCCTTTTCCGGTGTCTGCCAGGTCTTCATACTCTTGGCTCGGGGGCAGTGCACTATATCTTGTCTATTATTTCGCAGACCCGCGAGAATGGCTGTATCAAACACTTCTTTGACATTTTCTTTAGTCAGTGCGGAACACTCCAAGTAAGCAAGGGCGCCAGTACGCTGTGCAAGTTGCCGGGCTTCGTGTACTGGTACTGGTTGTTCTCCGTACTGGGCAAGTTCCAGTAGGGTCTTTACATTGAAACGAAGATCGCATTGGGTACCCACCAAGATCACCGTAGCTTGAGGAGAGAAATGACGAATTTCTGGAAGCCAACGATCTCTGAGGTTGAAAAAGGAAGTAGGTCTCATTACACTGAAGCACAGCAGAAACACCTGGGTATGAGGGTAGCACAGTGGTCGAAGAGAATTAAAGTCATCCTATAAAAAGATACATAGAATCAATCATCAAATAAGAATTAAAGGCTTTCACAAGTACATCATTTTTCTTTAGTCTTGATAATATAAAAATAAAACCACGGGAACACCATCCCCATATAATAATAATAAAAAAAACATGATAATTAAGTTAATTTTAGCAAATTTAAAAAGGGTGCAATAAAATGATATGTCCTTAACTTCGATGCCTTTTTTTTTCTGCTTTCAAACAGACCATAATCAAATAGCGCCAGAAAGGTTGGGCAGACAAATAAAACTAGTAGGGGAGGTATATATGAAGAAGCATCTATACAGCCGGCTACACTGTCTATAAGACTATTATGTATATCCACGAATCTTGTGAAATTAGATTAAATTTAATTAAAATATTATAATTCTCAAGTCCGCCGCTACAATTTATTATCTACAAACCAACTGAGTGAAGTAAGTTACTTCTAATAAATGGAAATCTATGCTTCTTGTTTTCTTTGTCAGAATGACTTGTCCAAGAACATTTTTGAGGGAACGAGAAACGAATTTGGATTTAACTGGACGTTTATTGTAATTTGAAATGGCATATAAATACGCTAATTCTAAAAAAAAGAAAACAAGCTTATAAGTGGTTATAAGAAGCTTTTATATAACTAATAAATAATATGATTAATCAATTTGTACGTAATCTGAAAAGTACCAGTAGAATTTAAGTAATTAATTAAAATTTTGGTCACACCTTTAACAAATAAAACCAAAACCATATTCTTCCTTTTATCTTGTAGATATAACAGACTTATGTTGAATTTGTTTAATTTCAATACATAAAACTACAAATGTAATTGGTAACCCTTTAAAAAAAAACGCTTTGAAGCTTTGTTGTATTTCTAACACTCCATGGTCAAAATGTAGTAACTTAGTTTTTATTATTTTTTTATGTTTTCCATTGTTATTGTTTTTTACTTTTCTACTTCACACATTTTTTTCAAGTGGTTAACGGTAACTTTGGATGTGAGAATGCTGAGGACTTGAGCACCTGCGTCTTTTTGAAAACTTATAAATTTCAATTCCATTTCATGTATGAAGTTTACAGATTTATATTAAATCTAATAAAAAGTGAATCGTATCGCTGAGTGTGTTGTATACTCTTACAGATTCTTCTATTAAAATACATTTGACCACTTTCAGTCCAAAGTTTGTATCGTAGTTTGCTTTGTCTGTCTTATATATTCGACGCTATTTGTTTTTGCTTTTGGCCTAATTGTTAATAAGTGCTTAAAATTCTTTCACTATCTGTCTGTATCTATCTACGAGAAATATGTTAAGTGGAACGAAATACATTCACACGTAAAGAAAACGTAAACACTTAAACCACAAAAAAAAATTAATAACAAAAATAAAGATAGAAAATGAGGTGATTTAAAATAGACCCAATAACTTGCTTTGAGACAAATCCTCTCTTTACTCATATAGCGACAACAAAATGAAACACCTCACACGTGTGCCATTGTCATCATAAATTCCGATCTTTTGTATATATTAGGAATCAAAGTTATTATGAATTCAACGGACACTAAGAATTCTTCTCTTCTGTACTATTTAGTTCAATAGAACAGTAAACCGCTAAAGTTATGTACATATAAAAATACCTTGTTTTATAGGTGAGCTTCCTTTAGAACTGGTTACGTTCTTCATAGGTGGTAAGGGGTGTTGCAAAATAAATCACACTTTTCCTCCGAGAGCATAACAAAGTAAGATTTTAATTCAATCAAAATTGTAATTCCAAGTATCAATATCGCTTGATTGGGCCACCGTTGTTCTCACGCATGAGTTTTAATTGAGTTGCAAAAGATTTCAGCATTGCAACAAACATGTTTTTGTGGCTGTCTCTGTGAGCACATCAGTGAGAACCCGAATCAAGT